CAGAATAAACCCGAACCCCAAACTTAAAAAGATTTTGACGATAGGTGTCTACGAAGGCCACGCTTTCTTGGTAAAAGACATCGCAAAGCTGGTGAAAACCTATGCATGCACGCATTGCGGGCAGAGATTCACAACCGTGCAGTCTCAAACGGCATCACGAAACCTGCAGCGCGGGAAAAACGGTAATCTTTTGCCTGGGGACAAAAGTGGAAGCCCCACAGACAGCTTTCGAGAGAGTGATGTACCAAAAAGGCTCAGCATCGAAACAAGCGATTCTGTGGCTGGAGTGGGAAGCGAAGCGACGGGGCATCCACATCCACCACGCAATGTGTGGGCACGGGGGCGAGAGATGGCTTCTGCGAGAAGGCGGGAAAATGAAGTCTTCTCCTGTTGACGGGTACAACCACGAAACAAGGACGGTATTCCAATACCACGGCTGCGCCTTCCACGGATGGCCAAAATGTTACCCGCGGAATTGAGAACAGATGGCTGTAACTAACGCTAAAACCCCCGAACAACTGTACCAAGCCACCATGAACTGTACCACTTTTCTGCAGAAACTCGGCTATGAAGTTATCGAAGCATGGTCTTGCGAAGTTGGGTTTCTTAAGGGGGAACTCCCGAGGAAGCAAACGAAAACTTACCCGCACACGATCTTGAACGATTTTGAGGCGTATGGCGACAAAAACTATCGGAAAGAACCGACAGGAGCGCTAACGATACAAAACGCGCATGTGCCAATCTCTGTGAGCGTTGGGGACACTCTCGAAAAAGAGCCCACCCACATCTGGGAAAGAAACCCCACGAAGCTGGTCCGCAAGTTTATGAAAGAGCTGGAGAGGCGCGAGAAAAACATCCAGGACCAGGTGAGAGCGGAGTTTGTGCCAGAAGACATTCACCTGCTGACAAAAGNGCCACGCTTTCTTGATAAAAGACATCGCAAAGCTGGTGAAAACCTATGCGTGCACGCATTGCGGGCAGAGATTCACACAAGCGTGGACGGCTGCGCCTTCCACGGATGCCCAAAATGTTACCTGCAGAATTGAGAACAGATGGCTGTAACTAACGGTAAAACCCCGGAACAACTGTACCAAGCCACCATAAACTGTACCACTTTTCTGCAGAAACTCGGCTACGAAGTTATCGAAGCATGGTCTTGCGAAGTTGGGTTTCTTAAGGGGGAACTCCCGAGGAAGCAAACGAAAACTTACCCGCACACGATCTTGTACGATTTCGAGGCGTATGGCGACAAAAACTATCGGAAAGAACCTACAGGAGCGCTAACGATACAAAACGCGCACGTGCCAATCTCTGTGAGTGTTGGGGACACTCTTGAAAGAGCCCACCCACATCTGCGAAAGAAACCCCGCGAAGCTGGTCCGCAAGTTCATGAAAGAGCTGGAGAGGCACGAGAAAAACATCCAGGACCAGGTGAGAGCGGAGTTTGTGCCAGAAGACATTCACCTGCTGACAAAAGATCAGCAGCAAAAAATCAATGAATGGTGCAACCAGGTCCCTATCGTGGGCTTCAACTCAGGATCATACGACCTGAATCTGATCAAAGCCAGCACTCTCGCCGAAGTATCAAAAAAAGTCAAAGTGGCAAAGAAGGGAAACAAAACCATGTTCCTGCTCACCTGGGGGCATGTTTCCTCGATATCATCAACTATCTGGGCCCAGGCACGAGCTACGCGAAATGGGTGAAAGCCTACGGAAG